CCAGAGCCCATTTGGGTTTCTTGATATAAACTTGAATCGTCCAAGTTACAGAATAAACTTTTATTTTTATTATATTATATTATTCTCCTTCACTATTATTGACAATCTATTTATTTATACTATATTAAAAACGTAACCGATCGATGTCTGTACATTGAAGATATACGAAAAAAACTGTTATGAGGGACATTTATAAGCGTATTGGAACACAAAACAATGTTTTTTTTTGTCTGTTTGTCTGTGCGTTTGTGCACGATAATCTCAGAAACGGCTGAACCGATTTAAATGCAGTTTTCTTTATTATATTGTGGTATTCTTCCGTTAACATTTAGTGTAAGATTTATTTCAATCGGTTCTCAAATAAAAAAGTTATGTCAATTTGAAGTGACGTGTTCGCCAAAATTGCTATGAAATATTAACTGTTTTATTAAATTTTCGTCTTTGATATATTGATCATCTTCATTAACTCTTTGACAGCCAAACTGCAGGGCCTCAGGCCTTTGTTTAATAATTTTTGGTCACCCATCCCGTGAACAACTTTTGCGAAAATTGCTTAGCAATATCGATCGTGTGCAGCGGCGCTTTTCCATAGCGCCACCGAGCTACGAATTAATATTGTCTATAAAATGATAATTTGTGTGATGAAAAATAAAAAAATAAGATTCCTAAATTTTAATAGATACTCCAAAGTAAGTTGACCTCATTTATAAATGGCCGTTGATATTAAATAGGGTTCAGCTTATAATGGGCGTGTGGCATACGATCACGCAAATAGGAGAACAAGCGAAAAGAACCTTCCGATGATGCAATTAAGCATCGAGTAGTTTACAGTGAACGCATATTTTTATCAGATTAGGTTCACGTCGTCGTCGGGGCCAGCAGAGGTGGTTGGCAGCCCCCACATTGCACGTTTTTGTCTGTCTGGGAGAGGCACTTGATTTACCTGAGCCTTTCCAATTTTCCATCAGCTGTAGATACGTACTTCGAAGTTGGTATAGGTATTCAGTCTTCGCCGGAAACAATGGTTGATTCATTGGTCACAACACATATAATATTACTCGAGTCTGAGGATCGGTTCAGAGTAGCTCGGTGGCGTAGTGAATAAGCGCCATGGCTCGAGATTGTAGTTGTTACGCAACTTTCGCAAAGGATGGTCACAGTACTTAATCCATAAGGCTCCTGCAGTTGGTGACATAAAAGGGTTAACGATGATGATGAGGGCCGTTTAAATCTGACGGAAGCTCAATTAAGCACCTCTCGCAAGTATGTATGTGTTAGTAGATGATTTCCTTCGAGTCTGGAAAGTCGATATTAAAATATGTATATATTTTTTTATATCAATAAATAAAACTCAACGTATCTTCCGTTAGACATTTACCGACCGACTTTTATTGACAAAGAAAGAGATCGGACGGAAAGCGCTCGGTCTCGGGAGACACCTGAAAAACGCGAAGTGTATTTAACTACCCATCGCCAGGCTCATGCACTATAAACTTAAATGTGAAGCATTTAACGTCAGGGACAATCTCTTGAGCTCTCGGAGAACTCATACAATAAGCGTTCTCAGGAAACTTCTGAAGATCACATAGCGCATCTAACAGCTGATCGTAACATACATGCAGTATGGTATGAGTATGAAACTTCCTTTGATGGTATGAGTATGAAACTTCCTTTGATAGAGAAATGCGCTTGGTCTCTGAAAGAACTCGCAGTTTGCACAATAGAGATTGAGAAAGTAGTTTCGATTATCGTCAACCCGTGTTGCCTTCATACTCCACAGGCGTACCACAGATAAGTTTTCACAAGGTATAATGAACTAGCTGTTTCCCCGCGAGTTTGCCGCAAAATTATAGCCTATGACATCCGTGATGTAGCTTCCCGTAGTTAGAATCGCTCTGAAACTATCGGTCCAGTAGTTTTGGGGCATTTTCGATGCAAACAAACAAACAACCAAATCTTTCCTCTGCTGTCTGTCTGTCGTCGGGGCCAGCGGAGGTGGTTGGCAGCCCCCCCCCCCCCCCGCAATCCACTATTTTTTTTCTGTCTGGGAGAGGCACTCGATTTACCCGTGCCTCTCCAGTTTTCCATCTGCAAGGGGTCTAATGGTCCAATATTTGAGTGTCCTGGTGATTCGGCCATAGCTTGCCGGGTTTCATCTCCCATAAGAGGGTGTAGCGTACGGGTTTTGGTGGGTAGGCCTCTGGGGACCCACAGGGCAGCTCATTATCGGGTTCACGGAGGAGAATCCTACTCACCCCCTGTTGCTTGCCACGTAGCAGAGACAATGTCAGAAGCTTTCTATTCTTTATGTTAATACACTTTTTGTTTTTTTTAACATACAAATTGCTGTAGATACGTACTTCAAAGATGGTATTTTCAGTCTTCGATGGAAACAATGGTTTATTCATTGGTCACAACACTCATATAATATTACGCGAATCTGAGGGTCGGTTCAGAGCGGCTCGATGGCGTAGTAATAAAACGCGCCATGGCCCGTGATTGTAGTTGTTAAACAACTTTCGCAAAGTTCGGTTACAGGATGGGTGACCAAATAAATATTATCTCAAGTAACTCCAAGCTTCGGAAGGCACGTAAAGCGATTGGTCCCGGTTGTGTTTGCAGTCGTTAATATCCTCCAATCCGCATTGGGCCAGCATGGAGGATCGTGGCCCATCCTCCTTAACCATCCACAAGGAGGGCCTGAGCTCCTGCAGTTGGTAACGTAAAAGGGCTGCTGATGAGGGCCGTTCAAATCTGACGAAAGCTCAGTTAAGCACCTCTTTGAAGTATGTGTTTAGTAGACGATTTCCTTCGAGTGTGGAAAGTCGAAATTAAAATAATATATATTTATTTATGTCAATAAATAAAACTCCACGTATCTTCCGTCAGACATGTACCGACCGCCTTTTATTGACAAAGAAAGAAATCGGTCTCGACAGACACCTGAAAAACGCGAAGAGTATATAACTGCCTATCACGAGGCTCATGCACTATAAAGTTAAACCGAAGTGACAATCTTTTGGGCTCTCAGAGATCCCATACAACAATCGATTGATCTCAGGAAACTTCTGAAGATCGCATAGTGCGTCTAACCGCTGAGCGTAAAATACATGCAGTATGGTATAGAGAAATGCGCTTGGTATCTGAAAGAGCTCGCAGAGATCGAGAAAGTAAAGTTCGATTATAGCCTTACCGTCTTGCCTTCATACTCCACAGGCGTACCGTAGGTAAGTTTTGACAGGGTATAATGAACTGGCTGTTTTCCCGCGACTTTGCCGCAAAATTTTAGTCTATGACATCCGCGCGAGTGGTCCCTCATATCAGTTTTTTTCATATATCTTCAATGTACAGACATCGATCAATTACGTTTTTATTATAGTATAGATTTAAACATTAAATTTTATTAATAACTAACTGTGCCCTCAACTTCGTCTGCATGGGAAGTATTTTGGTAGAATTCTTTTATTCCTATGAATGGAGTCGAATCGAATAAAATCAATGGGCCATAACATAACCCACGATGCGGGCTCAAAGCGGATCGGTGGGTGTTAACGTTGCTGATGCAGCCAGGACTAACGGCTTAACGTGCATTGTGCCAGTGTTGTGCACAGTGCTCAAAATAATTTTTTGATCACCCATCCTGTGAACGGTCCTTACGAATGATATTTTTCTATCTTTTTCCTCGTTTCTCGCACTCTGGATGTCGCTTGTGTCTGAGCATTTTATTCGTACCTTTAAACTAACTGTCCTTCTTTTGTTTTTCACCTTTTTAAATTATTATTATTTGTTTAGTTGTATGCCCAATCGGTTATTTAGTGTTCTATTTTCCATGTAATGCTAGGTTGTCTGGAAGAAATCGCTGGCCTGCGATGAGTTTGTCCTTTGTACTTAGTTATGTAAAATAAGTATTCATGTATGTCCTTGTTCTGCAGTATTTACTTCTATTTACTTACTTAACTGTTATTTAAACCGAATGCGTTAACACACGACTCCATCGGACCTCTTATACCTAAGCTATACTAATATTATAAAGAGGAAAGATTTGGTTGTTGGACCGATAGCTTCAGAGCGATTCCGACTTACGGGAAGCTATATCAAACCACTGTAGAACATTGTCAAAAGCATTATTTACATCGTCAAAACAATCATTACCCCTGTCAACTTTAAACAGTAAAGAGGTGTCATCTGCAAATAATACTGTCTCGCACAAATTCTTCGTAAAGTAAGGAAGTTCATTAATATAAATTAGAAAAAGCAATGGTCCTAATACCGATCCCTGAGATACGCCCGTAGTAACTGGCGCCCCTGCAGATTTCGCTTCATTAATTACTACTTTATGAATTCTAGCAGAAAGATTTGAATTGACTGTCAAGAGATGGCACTAGTGTTGTGATAAGATAATTTTATTTATTTATTACGATACGCCCGTAGGTTACTACGGGTATACCAGTACCAGTTATGGTGCCCCTGCAGATTTCGCTTCATTAATTACTACTTTTTGAATTCTAGCAGAAAGATATGATTTTATTAGATTAAGTGAGTTTATAAATGAGTCAAAGAAGCTTTAATGCTTTAAAGCTCTCTCAATTCTCACATTAAACTAAAAAAAAAAAATTGGGCTATCTCTGCCGGCAATTTTGCTACAAAACCCGATTGGTGTCAATTATAAAATATAATATCAAAACGAGATCAAAAATCAAAATAATCAGTCACAAGTGTTAGATTATACTGTTATAAAAAGAAGAAGCATAATAAGGGGGAATAGCACGTTATCTTATAAGAGATTTCAAGTCTTCTTTCTTTCTCTCTCTTAAAGGTATTCTTGCAGAATACAAATGTTTTAATGTAGGTCTCACACGCTTTTAGAGGTCAAGGACACGCGGAGAAAGGTTGTGTCGGAGATGGAGTTGGATGTCCACTCGACTGGAATCCAGGAAGCTGAAGGCCTTGAAGGGCTGTTGCAGCAATATCACAAGAACGTAATGATATAGGTTGGCAACATGCTCTCGGCCAGGCTTGAGGGATTGGAGGGAAGGCTACTCCCAGCCGAGAGACTTAGGCCTTCGTTGGCGGCAGACAGAAAGAAGGAAGAGAGGAGGAAGGCAGGAACCAGGGAAGAGAGAGCTCCGTCCTTGCCAAGGAGGGCACCCGTCTCAGTAGCATCCACATCCAAAGCGACACTCACTCCTACGGCGCAGAAAAAGGAGACGGTAACGAGAGGCAAGAGGAAAACGGCGGCCATGTCAGCTGCATTGGATCCGGAGGAGAAGGAAAATAGGGAGAAGCCCAAAGAGGAAACGTGGGCGACGGTAGTGGGGCGGAAGAGAAATGGAAAGTCTTCCCAACCCGCCAATCTTCCTCACCCCAATACAAAGGGACAAAAGGCGGCAGTGTCAACAATGAAGGAGGACGCTAAAAAATCCGTGGCGTCCCGAGAGACACAAAAGAGTAAACCAAAGCTGACACCACCAAAAACGGCGGCGGTAGTTGTGTCGATCTCGGAGGAGGCGGCGAATAGAGGCGCCACGTATACGGAAGTGCTCGGGAGGGCGAGAAATGAGGTGGACGCCCTTGCTTTGGGCGTCCAAGACATAAAAATGCGAAGATCGGCTACAGGGGCCCGCATACTTGAGATCCCAGGAGCAGATGGTGGGGAGAAAGCAGATGCCTTGGCCGATAGGCTTAAGACAACGCTTGAAGGGGTGGCGAGTATATCTCGCCCTGTAAAGTCGGTGGATCTGAGGATCCTCGACCTCGACGACTCGGTTGGGATGGAGGAACTGGCGGAAATAGTTGCCAGAAACGGACAGTGTCAGAAGGAGCACATCAGAGTTGGTCCAATAAGGGTTGGACCGGGAGGACTCGGGGCGACCGTGGTTCACTGCCCAGTGACAGCGGCGAAGTTGCTCCTAGATAAAGGGAAAATTCTCGCAGGGTGGAGTTCGGCGCGTGTGCGAGCACTGGAGCAGCTCCCGCTCCGTTGCTTTAAGTGTATGAAGTTAGGGCACACGCGCAGATTATGCAATAGCGAAGTAGACCACAGCTCGGTCTGCTTCAGGTGCGGCAACGAGGGGCATAAAGCGGGGAGCTGTCGAGCCCCGCCGAAGTGTAGGGTATGCGAGGAAGCAAAGCTGCCGTCCATTCACGTCATGGGCGGTAGGCTTTGCACCCCTCCAAGAACGCGTGGTATTGGGCCCTGGGATTCCCGAAACTCGCAAGTGGCGGCTGGCGGTTCTACCGCCATGGAGGTGACGAATTCGGCCCCGCAATGACCCAGAGGCCCATAAAAATCCTTCAGACGAATGTGAACCACTGCGTCAGCTCCCAAGACATTCTATTGGCAAGCCTGGCGCAGTGGCATATCGACTTGGCTGTGGTCTCCGAGCCATACTGTGTCCCACCTCGCTCAAACTGGATGGGGGACGTGGGGGATGCAGTGACTGACGTGGTGGCTATTCATGTTCCCAACCCAACGGCGAACACTCCGCTGTTGGTGGTAAACGAGAGGGGCCCCGGATTCGTTGCGGCGTTGTTTGGGGAAATTGTTGTGGTGGGGGTATACATATCCCCGAACGCAATTCTATCGGAAGTGGAAACCTGGCTGGATCGTCTCACCGAGGTGGTGAGAAGACAGGCTCCACGCCAGGTTATTGTGGCCGGGGACTTGTAACAGTTTACTTAATAAACTGTCCTTGTTTTGAATTCTTTTTTTAATACAAATAAATTTAAAGAAAAATATAATTAAAAATAATTGTAGGTACGCTGTCAACAATTGTACTATGGAGGTAGGCCGACATAGGAGCGCAGCGCGGCTCATAGTGGTGGCATAGTATTTAAAATGACTTCTCGCGAGTCCAATGGATTCATTGTGATTTGATTATTTCAAATTGTGTGTAAGTGCTAAATAACCCCGAAATCGGGTGAGTGTTCTATTCATTTAATTTTTGCTGCTCGCTTATAAGTTTATTACCTTAGAGTATTTTATTTTTAAAATCACAAGTCCAATAAGTAACTTTTAAATTCTAAATCTGTTTCGCTGTTTTATAATGTTTATTCATTGTTCATTGAATATTATTACTGAGGTAAAAATCCAGTTCTTAACCTAATGTTTGATAATATTTTTATTCTATTTCGATAAAGGTGAAATAGATATTTAAGGAAAGAAGTATCATAAAATTGTTCCTATACTTAAAGTAATAACATTTTATTATTTTTCTACCTTACAGATTTCATATTTAATTTTGTCTGCTAAATTAAATATATAATTAAATATAATCGATACATTGTCCGAATACTAGTTATTTCAGTTTCAATTCGTGATTTGTTTCCATCTCAGGTTCGATTCCCGGGTTGTACTATAAATAATTTCGATAACCTTGAAATTTAGATGATTTATTTAGATGATTTTAAAGGGAACACTTAGTGTTTTCATTTTACTTGAAGTACGGGTTCGATTCCCGTATAATATAATATATTAGTAATTGTATTTTTTTAACTTACAGATTATTATCATAGTATCTGTTATTTTAACTTCATTCTAAATGATTTTTGATATCATTTGAAACACACGTTTTTATATTTTTTTTAGCCGGTAGATTTTTACAGAAGCTATAGCAAATGCAGCTATTTTAATTTTTCCAGGCCACAGGTAGCTGCACTTTTTGAACTTCTATTCAATGCTGTATTTATGTTACAGGGTTTCTACTGCTAGTTCTACTGCTAGTTCTACTTCTTCATCAACTCCAGTCCTCCGGAGCTTCGTGGACCTTCGGTGCTGCTGACCGGAGCTGACGTCGGGTCTACACCCTTCTCAGCCTCTGCCCGGCCCGTGACGCCGAACCCGCGAAGTCCTCACTAATTCCCCTTGCAAAACTTAAAAGCTAAGTCCTCCCCTCGTAATTATAGAAACAAAATCCATAACGAGCGAATATCTTAACCTACCCCCTGAGAACAAATATAAAGATTGTTAAACTTTATTATTACTTTTATTCTTTATACCTGAAGCCTGGGGGTGCTTCTCACCCCCCATCTACAACCCTAACGCTTCAGACTTTAATGCGCACAGCACTGATTGGGGCTCCCCGGTTACTGATTGTAAGGGAGAGGTCGTAGGAGACTGGGCGGTGGCTTCTGGACTGGCCCTACTAAACAGGGGTAATACCCCTACCTTCATAAGAAGGGTCAATGGCAGGGAGGTCAGCTCGATTGTCGACCTGACATTTTCCACACCGGCCCTGGCCCAAAGGGTCCAAGGGTGGAGGGTGGTGAGGAGAGGTAACGAGGAGACCCTGTCTGATCATGCTTATATCCGCTTCTGTATTTCTGGACCGTCAGACAGGGGAGAAAATGCGACAGCGGCACGGGCTTCTCGTTTCCCCAGATAGGCAATCGCGAAGCTAGATCACGAGGGCCTGGAAGAGGCGGCCGTAATGCAGGCATGGGTCCTCCCGGAGGAAATAGAAGAGGGAATATCGGTGGACGAAATTGCGGAGAGATTCCGTTCGTCTCTGACGGAAATATGCAATTTCTCCATGCCGAAGGCAAACGGCGCAGCCCGAAGAGGGCAAGTATATTGGTGGACGGAGGAAATTGCCAGTCTCCGAACCACCAGCAGACGGAAAAGAAGGGAGTATCTCCGTTGCCGGCGAAGAAGGAGGGAGGAACCAGGAGAGGAGGAACGCCGCCATAGGTAGTACGCGGTGGCAAAGCTGACCCTAAAAGAGGCTATTCTGAGAGCCAAAATCGACGCATGGAAAGAGTTCTTGGCGGACCTGGATCGAGACCCGTGGGGGAGACCTTTCCGGATGGTGCGGAACCGTCTGCGCCACCAAGCCCCCTCCACGGAATCCATGGAGCTAGAACTCCTGGCAAGGACGGTGGACGCCCTTTTCCCACCTGGAACTCCAGAGGTGGAACTGAGGAGTACCTCCATTGGGCCGGAGGACTCAGGCGAGGGTTTTTCCCCTATAACGGCGGAAGAGATGGCGGGAGTGGTGGATCGCCTCCGGAGAAAAAAGAAGGCTCCTGGCCCAGATGGCGTTCCAAGCAAAGTTTTGACGGGGTCGTTAAAGCACCTGGGGGGACAATTCGCCGCTATTATGAATAAGTGCCTGGAGAAACGTGAGTTCCCCAGGTGTTGGAAGAGGGGGCGTCTCTGTCTCTTAAGGAAAGAAGGAAGGCCGCTGGATTCTCCAAATGCCTATCGACCTGTGGTCCTGTTGGACGAGGCCGCAAAAGCGTTTGAGTGGGTGCTGGCTAGTAGAATCGTCCAGCATCTGGATGAAGTGGGACCAAACCTGTCGGAGTGCCAATTTGGTTTTCGGCGTCACCGTTCAACGGTAGACGCAATCATGGCACTCCGACAGGAAATTAATAGGGCGGAGGAAAGAGGGGAGGTTGTCGTCGCAGTTTCACTAGACATACGAAACGCATTTAACAGCCTCCCCTTCGGTAGTATCGTAGAATCCCTTCACTTCCATCAAATACCTGGGTACCTGAGGGCTACGGTAGAGCACTACCTGCAGGACAGGGAAGTGCTCTACGTAAATTCAAGGGGGGAAATGGTCGCGCATCGTATGGAGAGGGGGGTTCCACAAGGGTCAGTCTTAGGACCCCTATTGTGGAACCTCGGTTACAACTGGGCGCTTCGTGGTCGCTTGTTGCCTCGCACAGCAGTGTTCTGCTATGCAGATGACACTCTGGTCACTGCGCGGGGCGGAGGGTTCAGCGATACGAAGTGCCTAGCGGTGGCGAGGGCGGAGCTCGCAATATGGAGGGCACGCAGATTGGGTTTGGAAGTGGCCGTGGAAAAAACAGAGGTCATATTATTCCACGGCCCCAGAAGAGGACCGCCTTCCGGGGCAGAGCTCAACCTGAATGGCAGCAGGGTGCGGTTCTTACCTCAGATGAGGTATTTGGGGCTGGTATTGGATGGGAGGTGGAACTTCCAGTGCCATTTCCAACAGCTAGCCCCAAGAGTGATTAAAGCGGCTGAGGGCCTAGCAAGACTCCTGCCGAACCTGGGCGGCCCCAATATCACGTGCCGCCGCCTCTTCGCAGGAGTCATAAAAAGCATGGCGCTTTATGGAGCGCCGGTATGGTCTGGCGCGCTTAATGCGCGGAACGGGGCGCTACTAAAAAGGCCTCAAAGAATTGTGGCCACTAGGGCCATAAGACCATATAACACGGTCTCGCACGAGGCCGCGTGCGTGTTAGCGGGCATGCCTCCGTGGGAGCTGGAAGCACAGGTTCACCGTTTTGATTTAATGTTCTTGCTCTGATTGTGCATGCTGTTTACGCATATTTGTGGAATTGCAGCCTACATCTGATTGCTAACTTTTTATTGCTTGATTATGTATATTGTTGTAATTCTGTCATGTGTAACAAATAAAAAAAAATATTAGGCAGATTCTTTACGGCATAGATATACATACGGAATATGAACTGATTCTTCTGTTGTTCGCAGCAATTCTCTCTACAGAAAATTATATTCAGGTTATCAGGTGATGAAATAGATTTCTCACGAACATATCTAAAAACACAAGAACCGATTTCATTAGCTTCTTTTTGCCCCTCAACCTCATTCCAAAAATAACATTCTGTTAAATCTGTTTTTTAATTCACTGATAGTTCTGCGAGTTTTTTCGAGCATTTTAAGGGACATCCGTTGCTGCATGGAGCTCCCAATTTTCGATTTGTATTCTAGACCTAGGTTACGCAGTTTCATTGCTACAGTTCTTTTGCTTCTACCTATTTTACGTTTATGTGACTTTTTACATGGCGAAGAATCACTTGGACATTCGATTGGAGGCTGAAAGGCTCTCGTCGAGTCAATGGTGTTATTTAAAATTTTAATCGCAAGTTTCTTCAGTGACAATGGATTGTATAATATGTTCGGCTTTTTTGTTTTGTATATCCTGATTTTCAATAATAGGCGGCAACGATAATGCATTTTTTTCAATTACTTGTGACGCGTTATTTAATCGAATTTGGGTTTCTAAAATACGATGGGCTGTTAAATTACAATTTATAGGTAAACTATCTTGAACTGTATCTGGAGTGGACTGTTTATTAGAGTTAATTTTACGGAGTTCTTTACTGATGTCTATAGAACATAAATCTGAATTAGATACGATGTAATCTTCGTGATCCGATGAAGACTGGTATGCCTTAGTGAATAACTGTAAGACGAATAAAGATTGAATTTCAGATAATTTAATCGTAGCTTCATCATTTTTTTCAGGCGAATGTAATCTTTTTTGTTTTTCTGGTGGGGGATTACACTCCATTTGTTTATGGAAAAATGGAATCTGTATTGGAAGAAGAACTGCTAGAATCTGAATTAATGATGCTGGAACTGGAACTTAATTCAGAAGAAGAACTAGAAGGTGCAGTATCCCCAAATATATTCGGGGTATATTTACTGGGCGATGCATCATTTTGCATTGAGGCGGAACTAGATGAACTCAGTGTTGTCTAGTGAAATCTAGTTAAAGTTTTTGTAATGAAAAAATATGTTTTGGTGAAGTTTTATATGAAGCTGTGAGTCTCGGCTTGTCTTTTTTCTTCGTGGAGCATTGGAGACGGTTTGTTTTCTTTATCATCATCAGAAGCAGGGGAAAAATCTTCACCAGAACGAGAAGAACATGACAACTTTCTGTTATGAAACCGTTGCGTTTGCTGTTCAGTATTAGATATCTCCGATAAAGGTATTAAAGGTAAGGATATTTTTTATCCGCAAGGACCGAGGTTTTGGAGGTGGCATTGTAACTGCAAATAATAGGATAAACATTTATCTAACCTAAAAAATCCTGTCTCAAAACCAATTGGTACATTATGTAATTAAACTTGTCAGAAACAGTCTCAAAAATCTTTATAAAAACCATTTAATTATCATTTTCATTTTTGGAAGTGTCATATTACCTAACTTCCGTTAAATAAATCCTAACAAAACATTAAATTACATCGGCGTTTTAACTAATATGTATATAATAGTTTAAATAATATTAAAATTGAGTTATGACAAAGAGTTCCTAAATAAATTATGCTGATTTAGGCTTCAGTCTAATCAAAACTTAGTAAATTTGGTAAATTATCAGTGACATTATAAGCAACGTGCCGTTATAGGTTGAGGAAAAAATACCTAATATTAAAGTTATAATGTTTTAAAACCAAAAATGACAGTAATAAAATGACTTTATTTTTCGTAGATAAAGTACCTATCACTTCGGGGTACCCGCAGTTACTGAAAAAGTGTTGATGTCACTCACACGATGTCATACGCTCCGCCCCTCTAAACAACGTATTGTCATTACGCCACCTAGCAGTTTCTATGCAAACTACGTTCACAGGGATCTTTGCATTTTAAAGTTTATACATAACAAAGAAAGATGTCGTCAAAAGTAAAAAATAGGTCGTTTTTGGTTAGTGACATTGTCATTCTTAACGTGCGATATTAAACACTTGACCGTTATTTGAAACTTTATGGTTTGAGATAGGCTCTATGATTTCCTGCTTGCCTATTTGCCTCTCTTTCTACATATTTTGCCTTTCACTCGCACATCTGACGTCATTCGACTCGACCACCAGGCAGGCTTTGCGCGCTTGCTTCATTGGCGTCTTGTTTCCTGCAGCGCACGGAGGTGCTTCAACGGGTATCTAGTGAGTACATTAACGAATCTTTCTTCTTAGAAGTCAATTGTTGTAGATATCCTAGCCTCTTTTATTATATTTAATTTTCATGAAATGAATTTTTAAAAAATATTTAGTTTTTCAAAGTAATAATTTTATATTTGGTTTTTTATACGACCTCCGTAGCCGAGTGGTTCGCACGCCGGTTTCAAGGTGTCGCCATCTCTGAGGTCCCGGGTTCGATTATCGGTCGGGTCAATGTAGAAAATGAACTTTTCTATATTGTTTCGGGTCTGGGTGTTGTGGCACCTTCATTGTCTCATATACTCCATAATATTCCCATATTATGGAGTATATGAGACAATGAAGGTGCCACAACACCCAGATTCCAAGATGAGTAGCTAAAGCTCCCGCTTTAGCTACTCATCTTGGAATCTGAGTAATGTATGTGATTTTTTTTATATATTATATATATATACAAGTACATAAATCTACAATTTTGCCAACCGTATAGAAGCATTTTTGATCAATAGGGTAGACTTTACTTTCTTTCGAAATTGTTCAATATCAAATGTGTAATTATTTATTTTTAGAATTTATCAACTACCCTCTTTTTGAAATAATAAATTTCTTTTATCTAGATATTTTCAGAGAATCATTAAATCATTAATTTCATAATGAATAATTCAAATGATGGAAATGTTTACAGTAATAATGAGAATACATTACATAGTGATACGGCTAATAACGGATCTCACAATCGAACAAAGAAACGAAATAAGCGTTGTCGCAGTTCCTCGAGTAGTAGCTCTTCGAGCTCCTCGTGTAGTTCTTCGTCATCCTCATCGTTTTGTACAGAGCCTGTGCAGTCAAAGCGTAACCGTCATCGCGAGATCGTCGATTCAGTAAATTAATTCGCGAAGTGTGTCCTACGTAAACGAGTGTCTTATTACGATATGCCATCCACGTCGCGTTCGAATCGTAATTACGAAGAAATTATAGATGGTAACGTTAGCGAAGAGTTATTTCGAGATTGTAACGTTAGCATTTATTCTCAACCCGGTTTTAATTTTGAAATCGAAACAAAGTTAAAGGAACCCTCAGTTCCTAAAACACATCAAAGTTTTTTTTTGAAAATATTAATAGATATTCAGTAGTTTGATAATAATGAACGGTGTTAAGTCCGTTATGCAGACACTCGGAAATCTTATAATCTTTCACCCGCATTAACTGATTTAGACGTTAATGATGAATTAAAGATATTTGAATGATAAAACATTTGCTGCGTTAACTTTTGTGTACTGAAGCAACGCGATGCTTTATAAACAGCCTTACGATCTTTGCTGCAATAGGGGCACGATAAAACCGTGTTCCATTATGAGCAATTTCATAAAATCAATTCTTCTGAAATGCTACAAATTATTTGTGGTGATAAGGCCTAAGTAATACAGATGAGGAGAGACGCTATTGTAAATTTCGTTCGAGATCCGTTAATTAAAGTAGCCTTTAGAAAAATTCCGCCATCCTGCTAACAAGGCTAACGAACCTCCCCTCGCTGGGGCAGATATTTCTCAATGTTCCCTCGCAGGGAAGCGCTCATGGATATTGTGCATCTACGCATATTTCCCATGCAGATCAACCTCCGCAAGGTTGTTATCAACCTCGTTCCTCGCAGGGACAGAAGGTACAAAGCAGAACATTTATTCAAACAAGAGGAATTGACTACCCTCCTATAAAAAACAGGTAGAGTGCGAAAAGCTTTTGTGATCTTGAACAAAGCAGGCTAACGAACCTCTCCTCGCTGGGGCAGGTATTTCTCAATGCTCCCTCGCAGGGAAGCACTCATGGATATTGTGCATCCACGCATATTTCCCATGCAAATCAACCACCGCAAGGTTGGTATCAACCTCGTTCCTCGCAGGGACAGAAGGTACAAAGCACAACATTTATTCAAACAAGAGGAATTGACTTCTCTCCTATAAAAAACAGGTAGAGTGCTAAAAGCTTTTGTGATCTTGAACAAAGCAGGCTAACGAACCTCCCCTCGCTGGGGCAGGTATTTCTCAATGCTCCCTCGCAGGGAAGCGCTCATGGATATTGTGCATCTACGCATATTTCCCATGCAAATCAACCTTCGCAAGGTTGGTATCAACCTCGTTCCTCGCAGGGACAGAAGGCGACAAGTAGTGATTTTTATTCGCCCACTTTATACAATAGAGGTTTGGTGCAAAGAAGGTCGTTTGAACAATAGAGATCACGATCACAATAGAGGACGTAAACATACAGGTCCATCCATTGAGAATAATGCGCACGCAATTAATGTAAATTTTGACAAACAGGCACTCAAAGGGGGTCAGTTGTCGCAATATCATCACCGTTGGCTTTACTGGGCGCTCCATATTATATTCTGAGGCTCAATCAGGGGTATCGCATACCCTTTCTTCGGGGGTATTGCAAAGTCGTCTTTAGTTGTACCAAATCCTTACGACAACCGGTTTGCCACTCCTATCACCGACACAATGACATCTTATTTTTATTTATTATTATTATTACTATTATAGAGTCAAGCTGTTCTCGAACCAGTCGAAATAGCACCACGCTTTCTTTTGCTCAAAAAAGTTGCTTGTTCTAAAGACCGATGGCTCTCCACGGCCCATTTTCAACCGTTAAACGATTTTGTCATAACAGCCCCAAAAGTCACAAACTGGGTAGCAGGTCACAAAGTCTACGAGCAGAGGGGATACGTATAACTGTTACTGGGACGATTTTCTCATGACCCACTAAGATCAGCAGGTCTTACAATTTCGAGCTCAGCTCTCGAAAGAATGCAGTTTCTTGAGTGGCAAGTAAATCTGGAAAAATCTATACTAGTTCCTCAAAAAAGCCTTGTTTTTCAGGGGATGAAAGTAGCGCAGCAAAAAGAATTACAGCCTTATCGGCCTATTTAATTTTACCAGCTTCGTAATCCCTCAAGGGCGATTACATATATATATATACCAATCCACCCTTCTATGGCAAAGCGACAACAAAACAGCTATTGCTTACATTCGAAACGAAGGTGGAACAAAATCCGCATCTCTGATAAATATGGCATACCAAAACTTTCAGTTAATGAAGCTGCATTTAATTTGAATAATTGCGTATCACATACCGGGAAGGTACAACGGCCATGCAGATCATCTATCTCGTTTCTGATTACCACCAGAGTGGCATCTTCTACATGCATGTGCAGAAATTGTGTTCAAAAGACTGCTCATGTCGTTGCGAATTATGTTTTTTTGGACCAAAACGATGTTCATTCAATTTATCACGGAGCTTTTTCCCGTTAATAGAACTATGCGAAAGGTTGGATTTTCCTTCCTCCTTATCTAATTTTCAAAGAGTTAAGTCACCTCAACCAAACTCAAAACTTTCCTCAGTGGGATCGAGTAATTTGATGAGCAGGTCTGAAATCCAGAGCATTGGTTCCACCGTTTACCATACCCCACCTAAGTCGTTACCTGATAGATACCTCAACGAATTTTTCCACCTTCGAAAGTACAAGAGATGATATTTGTAGTGTGGATTTGTAGGGCTGGTCAAGTAACCTAACTGACTGGGACGAATCCCAGCTCAATCTTTTACAGTCATCATGGCGCTCATCTACGCGCAAGACATATAGGGCAGCCTGGCTTAGGTGGCTTTAATGGAATAAGCTACATAAGTTTAATGCTTTTCAACGTAATGGTTCAGTATTAGCAAGGTCTTTAGCTTATTTATACCTTAAAGAATTATTCTCTTATATATAACACAGTATTGTTACGTAATATTCAACTTGTGTAATACACAACTATCAGGTTCCCATAGTTC